CGGAGGCGTCACAGAAACCGCTGTCCATCCGGTCCTCCGCCTCCTCCTTTCTGTACTCGGGTGGAGACTCTTGGCGGCGGTAGGCGGAGTTCTTCCCGGCCCTCGCCGTGGCAGACTCACGGGTCCTGATGGGAGCCTGGAAGTTGAGTGGGTTGAAGGGGTCTGAGGAGGAGCTGAAGGAGTCCCACAGGCGGAGGCTCTCCTCATCCGCCTCGCTCGCAGACGGCGAGTCGTCCCATGTGTCCGTGCTGGAGGGAGGAGAGGAGGAGGGGGAGGACTGAGCGGAGGATGGTGGCGTGGAGACAGGGATGGCACGAGGTGCAGCGACACCCGTGTGCAGGCGGGCAGTGAAGTTTCGGGGGTCGTAGGGGTCCTCGCTGTGGCACAGAGAGCGCCACAAACGCTCCGCCTCTGATTCTGCCTCACTGTCATCATCCTCATCATCATCATCATCATCATCAGTGCCATCAGACATCTCAGAGGAGCCCTCGCTGTCAAAGCCATCATCATCGTCATCATCAGAGGATGACTCCTCTGATTGGCTGTCCTCTTCCTCGCTGCAGGGGCCACCCATGATGAAGTTGATAGTTTTGTTCTGGCACTGAGGGACGGCGAGCACCACCTCCTCCATCCCCTCAGTCTCCTGTGGTGATGACGGCTCTGCTCTGGCGGACGTCACGCCGGACAGGTGCTCCTCCTCCAGGCTGGAGTACCCATTGTCCTGCTCGGGCGTCACAGGTAAGGCTGCGGCGATGGTGGCTCCTGAGCAGTTCTGTGGATCTCTGATGCTGAGCTGGCGGTCTGCCACAGCGTTCTGGACTGTGGGGGGGCTTCCATTGTTCACCAGCTGCTCTTTGTGGTCGCTGGCTCCAGCATTTTCTCCCAGCATCCCGCGGGACAGCGGCTCCCTCTCAGAGCACTCCTTGCCCCCCCAGAAGCTGTCCCACCATGGCCTGCTGGACAAGCTCTGCCCTCCCGGGGGCTTTACTTCCTGAGAACTGAGTAGCATGTGGCCCAGAACAGCCCGGAACGAAGACAGGTATCTGAATTGGGTCTGCTGGCAGAGGCTCAGGTCCACCTCTGCCCCGTTCTGGAGCCCGATTTCCCGTAGCGAGTCCGCGGAGAGCCACGGCAGAGCCCCCACGCCTCGGGGCTCACACTGCAGGTAGGACAGCTGAGGAGGCCCGAGCTGCACGTCCTCCAGCGGGCTAATAAATTCGCTCTCCTCGGTAACCAAGCTGCTTTTCAGAGTTCGGTTCCGGATTTTCTCCACCAGTGCCATCGCGGGCCTGGACAGCAGGCCGATCCACGAACTTTCCTGGCTGTCCAGTCCGGGCATGGAGGAGGAGGAGGGGGGGCGCCCCCCGCCCATTAAACGTCCTTCTTCGCTCATATTTCTGAACATGTCCTCGGTTTAATGTGCGAACAACTTCAATACGAACAGGCTGTTAGCACGTTAGCTGCTAATCCAACAGCTCATCGCGCCTACTCCGCACACCACACACACCGGCTACAGCTGCGGGAGGATCCGAGGTCCGAGAGCCCGGCGCGGGCCGCGGTGCTCTGCTGACAGTGGTGCTTCTTTCTTGTGGAGAACTCTGTGCGGACGGA